TTGGAAAAACTTCCTGCTAAAATCTTTGGACTGTGATAATATTTTGGGAGATGGGATTAGAATTAGAGGGTTCTCTGAGGGGATTAAAAAAATAATGAACAGTCTCTGTTGGCTGAAAATTTGGCTCATTTGACACAGATGAAGTACTTCATACTGTGGATTTCTAATACTACTGTGAAGGTTGTCTTCCTCGACCGTCAGCATTCATTCAGTCAGTCAGTCATGTTACAGTAGTGTGTGTTGAGGTATACATGACACTACAACATATTTGTCTCGTGAGAGGCTACTACAGTACTGCCACAAGAAAAACATTGCATTTACACTTAATGTAATACATACTTTATTTGGTTACTGAGTGGCACTATTATATTAAGGTAAACAGTTTAGGTTAACGCAGTTATATTCAGCAACTGTGTAAGTCCAACGCTCGTGCTCTGCCTGAAGCATACTGAATGTAAAAACTTTAGCATCAACACAAAGTTTGAAATAAGGAATACATTTTTTGGAGAGTGATGACAAACACAGTCTGGTTTCCATGACCTGCTGCAGGAGTCTTTTGTGTTGTGCTGCATGTGACACTGTTGTTTTTCTTCAGAACTGGCCCCGTACATATGGAACTCCTGCAGGATAATGTCGTTTACAATGATGTCTTAAAACCTCAAACTCGCTGTTTGGAGAACGACCATGAAAACATGAAGAGCATGTTGACATTTTCTTATTTCTCATGTTGTCATTAAATATTAGAAACAGATTTGCAGCCAGGTCTTCACTGGGTTCCAGGCTGCCCTGGGTCACGTGGAAAAGACGCTGCTAGAGACTTTGTAACATATGGATAACAGAAATGAACTCGGAGTGGAAACAGAGTTAAATGACAAGACTCACTTGTGTTCATAGACTCTTTTTTTAAAAATCTGCCCTTGAACCTCACCTCTGACACTCCGTCTCCCACTACACTTGAATCCCCAGTATAACAGCAGCACATTTTCAAAGCAGCCGTCATGTCTCATTTGAAGTTAAAAAATGATTTTATTTTATTTTTATTAAAGAAGTAGCTTAGTTTATCTCTGAACCTCAGAACACAATAACTACCAGAGATTCCACAAAGACATTATTTTGTTGAATCAGCTGGCACATCTTTAAAAGTACACTAATTTTTTTTCATTATCAGTTATTAAAAGCCTCCACCACTTTGTTGTTGCCCATGAGGTAGAAGAAATTTAAATTGGTTTTGGTGAACATAGACCATTTAGTTCTTTCTCATCCCTGCAGAGGGTGCTATAAACACAGTATTGGTTCTTGGTACATTTTTGACTTTCATACCTCTGTTTGTTCACCACTGAATAAATGAGGTCAACCAGTGCATCAGTCAAACCTCATCACTGTTTGTCTGTAGGTCATCGGTCTGTAGGTGCTGCTAGCTTTTCTGACCTGGAAGTCTGTTGTTTCCAGTTGGGCTGTTCGCCCTGTGGAAGAATATAACAGCAGCCAGTGAACAGCAAGTGTTTGCAGGCAGTGCAGTCACATGATTGTTCGTGTAGTACTCACTTGACACAGGCACCAGCTGGCCCAAACTCTAACACAGCACTTAATTAGCAGAACGTAGCAGAGTGGCTGCAAACATCTGCAGCGACTCATTAGTTACCAGTCTGAATATGTGGGCTGTTTCCTGTTGGAGAGAAAGAATGTGGACAAAAATAGACGGCTAACCAGATGATAACCTCATTTAGACATATGTCATGCTTATTAGTTTGGTTAATTTCCTGACCAGAATATGAGATTATCTCGCATTTATTTACATCTAAAATGTCAGAAATGGAATGGACAAGGAGACAGTACTTGCCATTACTTGTATCTGAGTAGAGGATTCTGGGAAATTAATGTTTTCATTTGCCACATGCATAGACTGAAGAAAACAAGATGGAATAAACATCCTCAGGAATAATGCTGCGTTTAAATTCTATGTCTTCCAGATGTCAGTGTGAGCCGACATGATAAACCTCTGCAGGAAATCAATTTATGATGAATGGTTGACAATAGGATGGGAACTGCACTCTTACAAAAAAGAAACAGCAACATCCACAGGGCTCACATTGATTTGTGATGAGAATGTTGTTGTGAAAGGTGGTTCCCAGAGTGTAGGGGCTGTCATGCTGCCACACAGAGCAGCAGCAGCAGCAGCAGCAGCAGCAGATATATGAGAACCACAGACTAACTGTACTCTTTTGGACCTCACGTCACTCCTTAGATCATGTTTTCAGTGTAAGCCTGAAGCTGAGGATCAGTCTGTGATGTGGCGTTTATGAGCTGGTGGATTAAACCAGGATTTCATTGTCCATGGTGACACACACGTGTGTTTGAATGGATGGATGGATGAACAGACGCAGGAGATAATTTGTATTCCTGTTCTTTTCCTTTTCTCTAATGTCATTCATCATGTCACTGAGTGAAAAGAACAAGAGAAAACTGATGCTGAACCCTGCAGGCGGAACGTCACCAAAAAAAAACCCAAAACCCTGCTACAACTGTGACCTCAGAGAACAACATGTAGAGATATACGTCTTAAAGCTAAATGTCATTAGCCTGTTAGCTTATAGTCTGTTTGTATAGTTTGAGGAGCAGAACTCCACTTTTGACCTTTGGGAAAGTAAGTAAGGTGTTCCTTCTGTTTCTGTTTCCTGCCTTTTCAGGAACATTAAACCAAAACAACTGGGCCAAAAAATTTCCCTCGTGCAGCAACGCGAAGCAGTCGCCCATCAACATTGAGGAGGACTTGGCCCAGGTGAAGCTTCAGTACCAGAAGCTGCAGTTTGATGGTTGGGAGAGTCTGACATCCGAGGGGACGACCATCAAAAATGACGGCAAGACGGGTGAGGATTTTGTACTTTTTTTAATGTAATCATTGATAATCATTGTTAGAACAAACACCATAGAAAACTGCATTTTTTGTCCAAAGAAAATTAGCATTCAAAATTAAATGATGAGTTACATTTAGTTAAAACAAAAAACAGAACAACAGAAATAGACACATCCTGGGTTCTATCAGTATAAGACAACCATCTCTGTCCTTGTGTCCAAATGACATTTGGTCCCAGATGGACACTGACTGATTCTCCCTCTCTATTGGTCAGTGCCTCCTTATTGTAAAATATACAGTTACCTGTTTCTTACTGACAGACCTGGGACTCTTTCATTGGACTGTCTCTCTCAGTCTAAAGGATTGTGAAACACAATAAGCTGCACTTTTCATTCAAAAGAATTGTTAAGTGAAATTGTAGAGCAGCAGGATCCAGGCCGGCCTTTTTACCCAGCTCCAAACAGAAGAGCCCACCATGTCTTAGGAGAAAAGGGCCCTCAGAGGAGGAAGAAGCGTCCTGTTGTTGTCGCCCTCGTTGTTGGGCTGCCAGCTTCACTGTAGTCTCTCACTAATGGAGTTGTTTGGACAGTCAGGTCTTGAGTACTTAAACCTGTTTTTATCAGCGCACTAATGGGCCCCAGTGTCGGTGCAAAGGCGCAGAGCGGCGTCATTACACGCCATTTACAAAACTCCCGTGCAGGCAGGAGAAAGACGGGAGATTTAGGTTTTTACAAAAACAGGTGATGGATGTGGCATGTGGGTATTTGTAGGCCACAGTACGACACTGTGCAAACAGGGCTGTCAACACCAATGAATCAGCAGCCGGTCCTGTCAATATTTGTCCTGCCTCGAGGGGAAATTGAATTTTAGGAACGGTAGAAAAGACAAACGGTACAGACAGAGAGTGGACGAATGTCGAGCCCATGACTTTTTTTTTTTACAAAGACTGAGTTTCATCCGGTTGTTCACATGGAAAGTGTGTGTCATCTGCACATAAAACACAATGGTCTCGTGGCCACCCTGTTTTTAAAGGGTGGTGGGCAGAGATGTACAGTGGAGCACAGAAGATGAAAGGACTCTAGAAGGATCCTTGTTTGTCAGACCATCAAAGGAGCTTTTTGATCCTGACCTTTTGTCAGGTCAAACAAAGACCGTACTGGAGGAGAGCCCCTCATCCACTGAGTCACTGTGTTGTCAGAGGCCTTGGTGGGGTGTATTATGGGATGTAGGAACCTCTGATCTTTTTCATATCCAGACAGGGGGTTGACTGCATTGTTCACCTTGTCGTTTATTTATTTTGTTGAATAAATCGCTGAATAAACGTTAACTTTTTTCCGCTGCATTTGAGCATTTTTTGTCTCTTTTTTTGTCTCCGTTTACTGGTTAGAGTATACTAGCAGAGTAATTACATAAAATAAAATCAACATTTTAAGACTTTTGGTTTTGATCTCTGACATTGCCTCTCTACGTTACGCCAGCAACACAGCTTGCCTGAGTGTTGTAGCTTTAGTTTTTTTATATATTTTTCTTTTAAATAATCAAACTTTCTTGTACGCTGATGTCACTCGAACTAACTTAAGGTTCATTACTGCCACCTGAAGGCTGGAGTGTGTGGAAGAAAATCCTCTCAGTGTAGTGTTCAAGTTTGTGTCTTTGTTCTTTCTCTCCTCAGTGGCAGTGGACGTGGATGGAGAGTTTTATGTCAGTGGAGGAGGCCTCAGGTCAAGGTTCAAGGTTGGACGGATCACCTTCCACTGGGGGCGCTGCAACGCTTCGTCAGAGGGATCCGAACACAGTTTGGATGGCGTTAAATTCCCTTTAGAGGTGAGCGTGTATTATTAGCTGCGTTGGTGTCTTTAGCATTGATCATGTTTTAACCTGGTGACAGCATTGGTTGTTGTACAGCTAACATGGAAGTGAACAGGAACACCCCTGCTAAAGTGCACCAGCTTATACAATAAGTACTGCGTGTGTATACGAGTGTCGGCCTGTCCTTGGTCGTCAGAGTAAACACGTCCGTCTTGTTTTCCACAGATGCAGATCTTCTGTTACGAAGCTGAACGTTTTGACTCCTTAGATGAAACCATCAAGGCTGGAGGCAGAATCACTGCACTGGCTGTGCTGTTTGAGGTTTGTCTGCACACGTCATTACAAATGTTTTCTTTCTTTCTTTCTATTTTTTTATGTGGAAAACAAGTGCAGTCCATGATATCCAAGCAGCAAAGCTACAAAAAAAGGTCAAACCTAGAAGCTCGATGGGGGCACACACTGACATGAACATCAGATACACTGTGACCCTGTACTGGTCTGATATTATATTATTAATTAAGAAATACAGATGATCTTTAGAACACAGATTAACAAAGATTATAACAAAATAATCTACAACTTTTTTTTTTACATGTATAATTTCAATAATTAGCAGAAAAATCGGCCTCATTCATTGGCTGACTCATTACAGTTTTCCCTCTGATTCACTGGGACCAAACTGAAGTGAATGTTCAGAAACTTTCAGCGTTAAATGAAAAACAGATGCACTGTTTCCTGATCACTACATTAATCACTGAGTGCAGTGAGTGACTCACATCCAAACTGGGAACCTAAAGTTCTTGACACCTTAATGCTACTTTAACACACTCCTCTGTGAGACACTGTAGGCGCCGTGTTAAGTGGAGAGGACGGAGAACCTAAATTAGTAGCTACAATTTTGTCTTTTCATCCAGACACGTGACGTTTGGTCTTGTACAACAGAGGATGTTTTTACATGGTTTTTTTCTGTTGTTTGAATTGTGATGAAAGTGTTTTTGAAGCTGTCAGTGGAAAATAAGAGCCATTTATGAATCATGAGATTACTCTATGGTGAAATGTGTGTGTATTTGGCTGCTAACCAAAGGGTTGACAGTTTAAAGCCACATGACATTTACTACAAAATATTTCCCTGAAGGGATTATTACAGTATCTGTTAAAAAAAACTGTACAATTTATCTGTTAAATCCTTATCTCATCGGTTGAGTTTTTTTTTTTACTTCATTAATCTTCCTAAGCTAAAAAGAGTAATTGAAAAAATAGATTGAAGTCCCTTCTATGTGCTTTCATACTTGGCCAAATAACAGATTGGAATCCAGACTCAAATTCTGATTAAAGTTAAAGTAATTGAATTTTTATCAGGCAATCTTTATCAATTTTTCAATTTATATATTTTTTTCTGTTGGGAGAATTGGAACACAAAGGTCAGGCCGGGCTTTTAAAGTTACAAAAAAACAATGAACAGGTTTTACCTAACCACATGATCATCACCAGCTGAGGATCATTTGTCATCAAATATTATATTTATTTCACTGCAGGAGAAAAAGAGACTGGTTGTTATTGTCTCCATGTGAGAGTATGAGTGAGTAACAGGTTAGATTATGTTTTCCAAGAACCTGGAAAATAAAATTCTGTTCAGCAAACCTTGATGTTAATAGTTATTCCTGTCCAATCCAGTGAGAGAAAGAGAGTCAGTCCACTGTGTTAGAAGAGTCTGATTCATATTTCTGGCTCTATATCTATATTTTGTCTTCTCACCTCTGGGTTTTCATGATCACCACCAGGTTTCTAAGCTTAAGTGCATTCTTTCTGCACCTCTAGTTTGTGCTGTTTCGCTGCCGTGGGCCTCTCTGGCATGTTTAAACCGGGGCTGTGTTGGAACGAGTTTAGAAACTCGTCTGAGCTGCAGGCTTCCATTGAGACTGCAGGTTATAGGCTGGGAAAATATATATTTATATGAAAAAAAACACGAGACCGTTTTTGTTGGCTAGCTGCCTCAACAGGTATGAGTTGGAAGTTTTAGAAACTCATGTTGAAGGGTGTCTGGTGGTTTCATTAGACCCTGTAAAGACAGGCATTTACATCAGCCCTGAGTGATGTGTTCACGAGCCGACGATGATGTTTGATTACACACCACGCATCAGATGCCGTCCCAAAAAATACTCAGAAATGAATTTGTATACATCAAATGAAAATGCCACTTCCTTTGGACGAATCAGAAACGTGACATTTGCCTTTTTCCCTTTCTAATTGCACTTTAATAAAGGTGCATTCCAGATTTCCTCCATGAAAAGCCACGATTATTTAAAGTCCATTTAAGTGCACTTTGTCTGGTTTAGGTGACAAACAACCACTTAAGTCTTTGGTTCTGACATCTGTTTTGGTTCCAGTGGAGCATGTTGATTACTACCAACCTGCTGCTCTGCAGTTATGACCAAAAGGAGGAATTCATATGAAGGGTTTCTCCACAAACACAAATAAATACTTCCAGCTGCAGCCGTGTTTATTACCCTCTCAGTTGTAATTGCGTTCGGCTCGTGGAAAAAAACCACAGGGTCGTGTGAACAAAACAAACACATCATTTGAATAATGGCAGAGCCGGGTCAGCAGGTAAAACCATTAGACACATGTCTTAGCTGTAGAGCTAGACGGACTTATTAATGGATTTAATGTCAAAATGCAGAATTATACAACAGTATTTGACAGATGTCTAATTCAACAGTCTTCAACATGAGGTTCACAGCCCCTGCAGGGGTCAGTAGAGTGTTAATGTTGTCTGTAAGGTTCTTGTTGCTCCGCTGCTCTAACTCCGCTGTTCCCTTCAACAGTTTCAATAATTATGATGGAGGATTTTAACATGTTTAATGTAAACAACGCTGTGTTTTTATCCACAGACGAGCAGAGAAGACAACGACAACTACGCACCCATCATAGACAGCATTCTCCGAGTGAGCAGATTTGGTAGGTCCACGTCTCTTCTCCCCATTTTTATTTATTGTTAAATGCACAACTTTTGTTTTTTTTTTTGTTTTTCTTTTTAA